CCCACCCCAGCCCTTCCAGCTTGGACCTCTCTGTGCCCTTCCCCTCCGCCAGCTCTCTCTTCCCCTTCCCTTTCAGAACCCCCAAGTAATTATCCCTCACCTCTTCCCTTTGCTTAGTCCTGTAAGCCCCATCACCCCCCCCACACACACACACACACACACTGCTTGCCACGCCCCAGATCTTGCTTTTCCTCATGAGCCCCAGGACACGTTATGGACAGGGAAGTTTTGAAATCCAACGTGGACCGCCCCACCCCACCCTGGGATGGAAGGTTGGGCTCTTAGCCACCTCTGGTACTACATCTTCCCATCTGTTCCCCTCTTCCAGCCCTCCCCTCCCGGGGACCTCAGTTTTTCAATACTTCCCCACCCCACCCTGCCCTGTTCCTTTCCAGCACTCACTCTGTGCAGCCACTGGGCTAAGTACAGTTTTATTAAGGAGCAACTGAAACTCCCCCCATTTTGCAGATGAGGAAACTGAGGCTCAGCCCTTACAGCCCAGTTATTGTGGTGGAGAAAGGTAGAGCACAGGGCCTGTGCTCTTAACCACAGCACTCCACTGGCACAGGGGACCATCCAGGAGGAGGAGGGCTGGAGGAACGTGGCGGAGGGCAGAACTTCTGGAAGCAGAAGAGGGTGAGGATTGGCCGTGGCCCTGACCTCAGCAGAGGTAAGGGGGGAGAAGGGGAGCAGACTTGGTGTGTCAGAGCGGAAGGAAGGCTGGGATGCTGCTCTCTGTGTGGTCCTCTGTCCGCCTTGTGGGATGTGGGGTGTGCTTGGGTGGCCAAGTCTGTGTTTTGTCTTCCAATTCCTTATCTTTGTCACAGATATTCCTCATCTTTTTGGTCTGTTTCAAATTGAGACACTTGGTAACCACTGCTTAATAAGACTGATCTTAGTGGAGGACGTTGCCCAATTCAACTGTTTCAGTGATTCGGGGACTTCACAGATTCCACGTGGCACAGTGACTCACCCCAAATTGGCCATTCTGGAAGGAGCAGCCCTGTGCCTGTTGCTAGAAGCAGGAGGGTTTCCTTCAGGGTACAGTATGGGGCAAGGGGAACCCATCCCATCCTCAGAGTAGGGGGAGAGCTCCCCTCACTGAGGGTGGGAGCCTGACTCGGTTGAGGAGTGTAGCCTGAGCCTGACCTTTCAATTCATACGAGATGAAAATCCTGCCCCCAAGTCCAAGGGCAGAGACAAGGGTGTATCCACCTAGGCAGGTTATTTCCTAGGGATGGGGTAGCATCCTTTTGGCAGGAGAAATAGGTCCATTTGAGCTTTCTGTATTTATCTTACCACATCCATACATTACCGTTCTCTACATTTCATAGATGAATAATGGCCCAAAGAGGGGTCACCCGGCCTCTAAGTGGTGGGGTGTCAGAACTAGAACCCAGGCCCGCGTGGGCCACAGCCCTTGTTCTTCACCCGTCCACTTCTGCTCCCACTGGTGAACTCAAAATACAGAAATGTGTCTGACACATCCATGCAGTGGCCACCTGTGTACCCACCACCCAGGTCCTGTGGCCCGTGTAGACGTATTAATTGCTTCCTTGCTTTTGGTTCGACACCTGTGCATGCACCCCTACGTTAAGAGCTTTGTTTTGTCTGTTTTCCAACATGTAAATGGGACCTTACTGATATATTCTCTCTCTCAACATCGTGAGAGTCAACTAAGTCGACGTGCATGCCCCTAGTTAGTACATTTTCGACGTCGTGTAGTATCCATTGAATGTATACGATTTATCTAATATTTTATTGTTGGGTGTTTGAGTTATTTTTAGTTGTTGGGTTTTATGAAAATACCTGCTATGAAAATTGCCTTTTGGTGCATATATGACTATATTTCTGTGGGGTCTGTACCTAGACGTGGAGCTCCTGGGTCATAGAGTGTGTGCCTCTCCAAACCTGTGACACTTTTCACGCTGTTTTCCAGCGTGGAACCAGCAGGGCATGCGATTTCCGGTGGTTCTGCATCGTCACCAACAGTGGTGTAATAAGCCGTTTTAGTTTTGCCAATCCACTGGGTGTTACAGTAGAATCTGGTAGTTTCCATTTGCATTTCTCTGATTAATAATATGGTTGTATACATTTCCATGTGTTTTAGCCATTTAAATTTCCTCTTTTGTGAAGTGCCTGTTGTGTTCACCCATTTTTCCACTAGGTTCTCTGGGGTGCTCTCTCTTTTTTTAAATTATTCATGTAGTCCTTTGTTGATTATCTGTTACAAACAACATCCTTCATTCCATTTTCCCCAATGGTAACAGTTTACATAATTGTACAGTATCAAAATCACATACTGGTACAATCACATAACTTAGTCAGATGTCACAGATTTTATACACACTCCTGTGTGTGTGTCTCTGTGTGTGTGTAGTTCTGTGACATTGTACCACACATGTAGGTTCCTGTCACCATCACAATGAAGATAACAGACCTACTACGTCACCACAGACATGTCCCTCATGCTGCTCGTTTAGTCACTCCCTATTCCCTGGCAACAACAAATCTGTTCTCCATCTCCAAAATTTTGTCTTTTCGGAAATGTTATATATTGGGTTGTCGGAAAAGTCATGACGCATTTTTGCAATGAAAAACAGAAAAAAATACATCATGACTTTTCCGACAACCCAATAAATGGAATCATAGCATGTGACCTTCTGAGACTGGCTTTTTTCATAATACCCATCCAAGTTGTCCAGACACTGAGGTCCTAGTGAGGGGACCCGGAGATCGTCACAGCACTGTGCCTTGACAAGAAACGTTCCACACCCATATCTGGGAACGGGTCCTTAATTTTCCTGCCAGAGGGTGGGAAGTAAGGAACAAAGTTGTTCACTTTTATCTGGTAGTTTACTAATTATCTCTAGTATTTGCCTTTTCATTTTTTTTAGATAATATTTCCCCCTCATTTCAAAGATTGTATTTTCTGGGTACAAGCTAGAAAAGCACCCAAAATAAAAAGTATCCATTACCCCAGCTTTGAGAAATACCCACAAAATATTTTGTTTCCTTAAAAATGGGATTATGTAAATATTGCTATTCAACAACTTTTTAAGCATTTCATTTTAATGCACTGCATAAAATCCCAAACTCAGCCTCCTAGTGTTGGACATCTAGATGATCAATTTTTGCTACTGTAACTAATGCTATGAGGAACATCTTTGTACCATCTGATTGGTATTTATATTTCCTGGGCCAGGAGGCAGCATGATGTATTCAGAGAGGGCTCCTGGAGGGCCAGCCCGCTTGGGGGCTGGTAGGTCAGGGAAGCATTTGGGGCTTGGTCCTAAGTGCAGAGGGACACCATTGAAGATAGAAGATTTTCATGTCAGGTGTGTGTTTGTAAAAGATCTCGGACTGCAGGATGGAGAAAAACATGAGGTAGATGGGCGAGTTCAGGCAGAAGTCAGTGGTAGTCAAGAAAGATGATGGTGATGGGGCAGCTGGCTGGCTCAGGTGGTTAGAGCGCAGTGCTCGTAACACCAAGATTGCCAGTTCGATTCCCCGCATGGGCCACGGAGCTGCGCCTGCCACAACTAAACTGAAGACAACTACTTGACTTGGAGCTGATTGATGAGTCCTGGAAAAATAGTTCCCCAATAAAAAATCCTTTTAAAAAAATAAAGACGGTGGTGAGAGGGGGCAAAGTAATAGACTTGGTGATTCCAGGTCAGTGTGACAGGACTCAGTGCCCCTAGGCTTAGGGCTCCTGTGGCGGGCAGGATGCACGGTGATGCCATTCCCTTATCTGAGAACACTGGAGAAGGGCCAGATGGTGTTTGCTGTTGTATTTTTGGTTAATGACGGGAATTTAGAAGAGATCATTTGATCGTCTTGTGATGAGTTGGAGGCACTTTTGAGACACGTAGTGGAGATGTCAAAGTGGGGGTGAATATAGGAGTCTGGGCTGGAGATACAGATCCAGGAGTTACTGATGTGGAGATGGTGCTGGAAGCCAGAGGCCTGGCTCACATCACCTAGGAAGGAAGGCCTGTGAGGTGAGGAGAGGCCTGGGTGTAAAGGCTGGCACCCCTCGAGTTACGAATGACAGAGGCCAAGCTCACTCTGCAAAAAGTGCCTGAAGAAATGCATTTGTATCGTCAACCCAGATGGAGCAGGAAATGTACCTGTTAACTGTAAGTCAGAATGCTCATGGTTTGTCTCAGGAGTACAAGTCAGCAGCACGAATGACAGTGCCATGGGCTTAGGTAATCTCACCCAGGGGAATCCCCACACACCACTGTTCTCTACCCTAAATGTTTCTACACAGAAGGATATACGAGGTCACACAACTAAGTTTGCAAACCCATCCTAGAAAAAGCGCTACATACCTCACTGCTGAATATCACTATGATCACCTTCAAAGTACTCCCCTTGAGAAGCTATGCACCGACCCCAGCACCTAGTCCACCCTTCAAAGCAATTTTGGAACTCTTTTTCTGGAATGGCCATTAGAGCTGTCATCCTATTACCCTTGATGTCCTGAATGGCATCAAATGTCTTCTTGTCAATATTTCCTTTATCTTCAAGTAAAGAAAGAAGTCACTGGGGGCCAGATCAGGTGAGTAGGGAGGGTGTTCCAATACAGTTATTTGTTTATTGCCTAAAAACTCCCTCACAGACAGTGCCGTGTGAGCTGGTGCATTGTCGTGATGCAAGAGCCATGAATTGTTGGCGAAAAGTTCAGGTCTAACTTTTTTGTCTAACTTTTTCACGCAGCCTTTTCAGCACTTCCAAACAGTCAACTTGGTTAACTGTTTGTCCAGCTCGTACAAATTCATAATGAATAATCCCTCTGATATCAAAAAAGGTTAGCAACATCATTGCAACAAGTTTGAGAACTTAATTGTCTCACCTCATATGATGCTCTATATTTTATGAACACTGAAAACTACCTAAAAACCCACATGGTGAAAAAATATTCATTGTATCCATAAAGAAATATGGATGTACTGAATAAATTTATTGCACAAATGGTCCCTTCAGGTCCCATGAGTTACAGCTGGCTCTGCGCCTGCCAATGACATCTGCTCATCCGTGTTCTGGTTTGATTCCTGTCACTGTTCTTGTTCAGCTTTGTAACTTCCCCGGGCCTAGCCCTGCATGCATCCTGCCCTAGAGAATACGTGCTGAATGAGCCGAGAGTAAAATCGCACATACTCAACAAAATGAGAATCATTTTATATTAGTGGCTTCAGTACCATCTGCTCTAAAGGAGTTCAACTTTGTAGAAGAATCTGCAGAAGAATAATCTAGAAATCATTAATTTTACAGTAAGTAGAAAAAAGGACTTAAAAACAGTAAAACCAATATATGTATAATAGCCACAGCACAATCAAAATATACACGAGGTAAGAGGAGTGTTGGCTATACCAGAACTAGTAAGACAGTGGAAGCTCTAAATTTAGAAACAAACATTTTAGAGAGGAAACACTGAAATATGAGACAGTCGAAAACCAGTGTAACAGTTTTTAATGCTAATAGGACAGATTACCAGCAGGCTTCAAAAACAGGAAATTCAAAGAAATTCAAAATATTCAGTAAATATTTGTGCCTATTTACCAGGCCTTCTGTCCACATCAGTTGTATCCTGGAGCTCAGGCAATATGATTCCTAACGCCCTTCGGCTTACTGAGAAGAGGCTCCGATGGACATGAGAGGAGAGACAACACCACTTTCACAAGCAGCATGAAGACAACCTAGAAAATGTGACCAGTCATAGAGAATATCCCATCCTGTAGGACACGTGGATTAAACCAGTAAAAGTCTGGCATTCTAGACAACCCACTTTGCAGCAATTAATAAAAGCAACACAACAAAGCCTGGAAGCGATGCCATCAAACCAGAACTTTATTTCACAATTAATGAACCTCTGAAACGGGGGAAGTAAATACAAGCATGCATAATAAAAGTGGTGGTGCTCAGGGGATGGCAGCCACAGAAATTCAAGACAAGAAAATGAAAAACCGATGAAGGATGCAGTTTGCAGCTCAATTTGTTTTTATAGCACAATGGAAGTGAAAGGCAACACAGCCCTCAGACTCAGGATTTTTTTTATTAAACTCTGCTTTTTAATAACTTGGAACAGTAATTAGCTGTAATTTACTGAGCTATGGAATCCTGAACACAATGTAATAAAAAACTGAAACCTCAGAGGAAGAATATGAAAAAAAAGACAAGTTATAAGAATAGGATTACTGCTGCAAGGAACTTGCAGCTTTCTGTAGGGATTAGTCTAGAACCATGTCACCTTGATGTAACAGTGCAAAGAGAAATTTCTGGCTGATCTGTGGTTGAGTCTGACCTAGTTTCTTCAGGTTCAGTGCCCATTCTTCTGGGCACATAAATTCCAGAATGCTGATAGCTGGGACTTTCCTAAGACCCTAGAAGCCCAGTGTCATGCCAAAAGAGTAGCCATCCAAGTGACCTTTTGGGTCCCCTTTGAGGCTCAGTAACGTACGTGTTGGGATCACTTCTCCCACACACAATGCTCTATGGAAATTCTACCAAAATGCTTCCTAAAGGAGGAAAGACTCACTTTTCACCATCTTTCTGGAAAGCATCCATGGACCACATCAGACTGCCTCAGGGTTCATAGTTCTTTTCTTCAGAGAACACGATGTCATCCTTTTGGGACCACTAAATTAATAAGCCCTGAAATAAACGTCCACCAAGACCTACAAGTCTGTCTTTCACAGAAGAGTTCAATTTAAATGGCAATTTTAAAAATCAAAAAACCTCCCTCACGTATCTCGAGCTCGAGCTGGAGGCGTCACTGGAGGTTGACAATGAAGGGTAAGACAACAGGAGATCATGAATCCTGTCGTGGAAAACAGCTTGGAACTTGAGCACTGATTTAGAATCTTACATTATTTATAAATATGTTACAAGACTGTGAACAGCATTGTCAACGTGTGACTATGAAAGCCCCCCTTTTCTCGGATAACAAAGGCAGGAAAGGGCCTCCTACTGGATGTTGTGGATCTACACCACCTTCAAGTCTGGCCAGACCCTTGATCCATTTGAACACAGACCTGAACGGGCTCGCTGAACTATTGTTTCACAGTGACCTGAACACTCAAACAGAACGCTGTAAAACTGTCTGGCGGCTGCCTATCCAAGGCCTCAGCATCCTTGTTCGCTGTGCTTATAGTCCCAACGAAGTCAGTTCCAAGCAATTTTGGGATGTCCGTAAGGCTAAGGAAAGAAAGAAAACACAAGATGGATCAGATCAGCCGTTCCTGGAGCATTGCAAATTAACACATTTTAAGTAAGAGCCAAAAGCATAGTATAAATGGCTGTTTTCATTTACAGCTGAAAAAGTTTGACCCTAAGCTACCAATGAGGCACCTAATGACTTTTTTTTTAAATACCAGCCCTAAGTAACATTTTCACATGTGTTGTGTGTGACACTCACTGACCCACGGTCAAGTAAGTTTAGAAAATACTGTTCCATGCACCTCAAGAGCCCCAGCTGGTTAGGACATCAGCGTTCTGCAGCAGGTATGGTACCTGCTCTGACCGTTTCATCGGCTGCCCAGCTATCTGACCACAAAGGAGCCAGCCTCTCTGTCCTGCAGCTCTACAGAGCGCCTGGGTGGCCCTGGAAAAGGAGGGGCAGAGGCGACATGCCTGCTGGGCCCTCAGGCCGTTCCTGGGGGCTTTAGCCATCAGCCCCCTTGGAGCAGGGGTGACAGCCTTTGCTTCCGTGTCCCCTATGGTGCCCTACACAAGGGATCACTCACGTACTTCAAGAGGCAGCAAAGGAAGGAAGGGGACGAGGGGAGAGGATCAGACAATGGGGAAAGGCAACCAGAGATGCCAAGAGGATGAGAGGAAGGACACAGGCCCCGTTCACCTGGGCTTTGAGTCTGGACAGTCAGGGCTGTGGCCAAGGCTCTTCTTAGATTGCTTTGTCCCCAAAAGGGCTCAACAAGCACGCAGCTTAATAGTCAGGACCTCAGCCCTCGTGCTGCACTGACAGGAGCCAAAGCAAAATCACCTCAAAGGCTGTATGAGGCCCAACCAAGGACTGAAACATACCCTGTGTCAAGGTTCCCTACTAGTCAAGAAAAGGAAAAACACAAGAGAACAGCAAGGAAGAACCCGAGCTGGCTGCGAAGCAGAGCTGGGCACAGAGCTATGCCCAGTCCTGGAGAGCAGGGGCCCAGCTGAGTGGCCCAGCCATGATGGCCCGTCACTGCAGGCTCCTTACCTTGGGCCGGTAGCCCCGCTCAGCCATCATCTTGGCCTCCTGCTGCAGCAGGGCGTTTGTGAGCTGCTCTGCCTGCCTCGCCTCCTCCTCTTCCTCCTCCTCCTGCTGATCTGCTTCCCACGCTTGCCGCTGGCGCTCTGCAACCTGGGCACAAAGAGCAGAGTCACTCAAGACAAGGCCCAGGGGCAGCGGCCTGCCTCTGATGAAGAGGGAAAGCCTGTGCGTGGACCCCAGCTGGAGAATCGGAGGTAAGGAACAGCCATGGCAAGCGCCAACAAGTGGGGAGGGCAGTCACGGTGTGGATTACAATATGGACCTTGTAGAAATCTCTGGAGGTGGCCGTGTGTTTGGAAAGATCTTTAAAGAAAATACTTCAATTACAGTTGACATAATATTAGTTTCAGGTGTACAACATAGTGATTGGACATTTATATAACTTACGAAGTGAAGGAAAATTATTTTGTGTTACCTACTAGGTAACAAATTGAATAGTGAGCTAAAGGCTTTCAGATGGAGACAGGAAAAGGAGATGGTGGACAGTAATGACAGCCTTGCTTCCACATGACACGAGGACCTGGAGTGAAGGCTGAGCTAATCAGGAGGATCAGGATTTTAGCTGAAAATAAAAAGGGATGCGCTGAGCTCTCCAGCGTGGGCTTCTTAGACAAGTACTAGTGTCAGGCTGTGGAAATAAGTCAAGGGCCTTGAACCCCGTGCCGCGATGACGCGGGAACCAGAGCAGGGCCTGCTGCCTGCAGCTCTCACCCCCCATGCTGAGGGCGCCTCCCGCCCGCGGCCTTGGCCCCACCTGGGCTTCCAGCTCCTGTTTCCGGGCTGATTTCAATTCTTCACTCTCCTCTTTCTCACGACGAGCTGACTCTCTTGCCTCCTCAAGGTTTTGAATAAGTTGCTCCCTGTGTCTTAGGGATTCCTCTTGTGCCCGCCGGTTTTGTTCAATCTTTTCTTGTATTTGTTGCTGTCTCCCTGTCAGGACCTAGCCTCGGCAGAAAGGAGAAAGGCAAGTTTTAGTTTGACTCTAACAGACCTCTGTTCTACAAGCCGTGGACAGGCTGCAGCTGCCCCGAGACCCAGCCTAATCCTCAGCCTGAAACCTAAATACGCGACAGGAAGGTAAGCCCAGACTACAGAATCAGTCCTGACCATGTTGCCCATGCATCCTACCCACCCCGGTCACACACAAAAGATCTGCAGGTTATGCCTTATGGAGAGACAGCTGAGCACCAAGGAGTTCAGAGGAGGCGGGATGGAACTCCCTCCACAGGACACAAAAACACAGCAACCAGGTGAGTCTCACCCCCTATTGGTGGGCTCTAGAAAAAAGAAGCAAGCCACAAGCCACACAGGTGGCATCTGGGTCATCCCCCCAACCTTTTGAAAGTTTGGCTACAGAGCAGGATTATGGACCACCGCCAGCCCAGACCACCGTCAGGACTCGGGAACCAGGAACGGCCAGAAGCCACCCACCATACTCAGCAGTTAAGTATCTGGAGGGAACACGTAAAGTGGCTATAACTAGGAGGAACATTTTAAACGGGGAAAATCAAAAGATGCTGGAGAATATGTAGTATTCACAAAAGTGAAAAGGTACCAACTGGGCCCCATGGATATTCTAAAATGTAGCATCCTAACATGCACAAAATATAATTTCCATTTTAAACCACTGTAAGATAACTTTCAATACATGGATAATGAAGACTCTTTTCCCCAAAAGATTTCCTTTTAGTTGGGGNTGAACATTTCAATCCAAATGCCATTAGGTGGGTCCCCAGCAAGGTAAGCATCAGCAGCGGGGGTGATGGGGAGAGGGTACATGTTGGTCCATGGAGAGGTGTCATAGCCCAAAGGAGATAGGAAGAGCTCTGGCCTGGTGAGGGTGGCCCCGGTGAGGGTGGCCCAGCTCTGGTGGGCAGAGCTCATGTGAATGAGGAGGGAATCCTCAAAGAAAGGCAGCCTGGTATGAGGGTGTCGGAGCCTGAGTGGGGTGTAAAGGGCATCTTTGTTGGGGAGAGGGCAACATCAATGAAAAATTTTACATATGGGGGAGATAGGTCATATCAGTGAACATATTAAAAATAATGAGAATACCAGGATTCTCACTGTCAGAGGAGGGAGTTATTAATATGGAAAGGGAAAAAACCCCACTAGAATTAACCCTGTGACTTAGATTGAAATTGGACCTATTAGGGTGAACTCATGGTTTCCAATATAAATAGATGACCACAGAAACATATACTTACAGATATAAGTGTGTGTGCGTGCACATGTGTGTAACTCTGTCCACTGAGAGGATCTCGGAGCAGTGGCACCCCAATAATAATAAGCACATGTCGATCTTGGTTCCTAAATACCATTCTTCATTAAAAGAGACCTGAACTCTTTGAAGAAATGGCTGGTTTTAGGACTAGGGCAGATAAAGTACAAGATAAGTCTGGAATATATTGTGCCAGACAGTAAAGAAGTGCTTTAAGAATGATGGTGACATGGCAAAAGCACAAAGAAGCCAGCTTGAAGGGGCTATCACAGGCCAAATCTAGGATAATTTGAGCACCCCTCCAAATAATAACAGTAATGGATTGTAACCCATGGAATCAAGAGTCTGTACTGATGGAAAGAAATAAATGGAAAGTTGGATGAGAGATGGGGTATTTACCTAGTCTCAAAGTAACTCCCTATGAAATGTTACTTAATTTCAAAGAGGGAAAGAGCAGATTCACATTGGAGAAGCTTGGAAGGCAGCACCTTACTCAAGCAATCAAAGTTAACATCATCAATAATGGGACAAATTAAGTCGTGTCATCTGTTATGATGCAATGAGGACACAACATGACTTCTGTGATATTTCATGATGCACAGAATCCACAATCTTCATCTAATCTAAGAAGCACAACCTGAATGCCTGATCTATTCCAAAGGAAACACCAGACCAATCTAAACTGAAGGACAGTCTCCAAAGTAACTGTCCTTTCAAAAGTCTCCAGGTCATGGGAGTCATAGACCAAGGAACGTTCCAGATTGAAGGAGACTCGAGACAGGAGTCTTACACGCACATAAAATCTTGAACCGAACCTTTTTGTTACAAGGGACATTATTTCGATAATGTCCAAATAATGGTGAAACTTAATGAGGTCTGAGTATTAAATGGTAAAAATGTATCAATGTTTTAATTTCCTGGATTGTGATTCTGTAGGAGAACATTCTTGTTTGAAGGAAATACACATGAAAGTATTTAGGGTGAAATGGGCATTGTGTCAGCCACTTATGTCAGATGAAAAAAGAAAAAGAAATAAATGTTTTGTGTGACTTACCTAGTGTTGTTTTTTTTAATTTGAATTAGTTACCAACATCTAAAAATCAGATTTTACCCTCAAATCTAGATTCCTGACTTCTCTTGAGAAATCTGAAACCCTAACAACTCTGGGCAATGAGTGGCCAGGTGAACAGCCACAGTGTACTTTCGATGGACAATGTGATCCCCAGTTCTCCACAGTTCTCACCACTCCTTACTGTGTAATACCCAGTTCACAGCATCCATGTATGCTACCAGCCCAATCCCTATCATGAGCTATGAGAACGTAAGCATCTTCCCCAGAGCCAGCACTTAAAACACTTGTTGAATGGATGGGTGGGTAGACAAACGAATGGATAAGTGAACTTTCAAGACACTCCATTAACCCAGAGCCATGACCTATCTCAGCACATCTAACTATGTTCCATGGCAAGAGAATGCTTCTAGACTTGATTTTCTTGTATCAGCCATAGTCTCTGGCGGTTTGGCTGGGATGGGGCAAGTTGAGAAATCAGGGTGTCGTCGGATGCTGGAGGTCCCCATGTGGGTTGTGATCTCTCTGTGGAATTCATGGAGGTGTCTGAAAGGTGGGTGAGGTTCTGGCACTGAGTCAGGGTGCTGGGAGGGCTGGTGATGCTTTGAGGAGATGGTATCTTAGGATGCCCGAGGTAGTGAGGCTGGGTGTGGTGGGAACAAACCAAAGTTGATGACTTGGGCACCTGTCAGTGGGAGACTGAGCTTGATGGGACATGTCAGGACTTGGGTTATGAGCAAGAAGAGATGATGGCTTTCTCTCCCCCAGACCCCCTCACTTCTTGACTGTACTTGGATAATGCTCTTGGTTTGGAACAACCTCTACTCCCATCTGCCCCCTGAAAGATTACATTGAAAATATTCCATAAGCTTGGGCCACTGTTTTTCTGGCACTAGTGAGAAGAATAACATCCAAACTCTATACCACCCCCTGCGTAATTAAATATACTCCAGCCCTGCTCACCTCTCTGGGCTTCACTCCATTAGTTCCACTCCCTCCCATTCCATCCCCTGGTCTCCCTGGTTGCTTGCACACACCAAGCTCTTTGCAACCTTAAGGCTTTTGCACAGGTTCCAGCCACCCTGTTTGTCTCCTACTTCTCCTTCAGGTTTCAGCTCAAATGTAGTCACCTCTTCAAGGGTACTTATTGCCCCCAACCCCCTACCCCCTATATCGGCCATGCCCTCAGTCACTTCACTCTGTTTCATTTTCTTCATTTATACTTATCAACGTCTGAAGTTGTCTTCTTTATTTGTGTATGGTATTGTATTTTGTTGTCTCCATGAGAGCAGGGATTCTGTACCTTTCATCACTTTATCCCCAAAGCCTAGCACAGTGCATGGCACATAGTGGGGGCACAATGACTATTTACTCTGGAATGAATGAGAAGCTCTCAACAACGGTGTGCTAGATTTTTGGAGAAGGTGAGCACTGGGTTTTAGGACACCAGCCTCGGTGGGTTGTAGCTGAGGCGATTTGTGCTCCAGGTTGTGGCAAGCCTGTACCCTCGGAGGTTAGGTTTCCGGAAACATGAGCCCAGCCAGGTGGTGGTTGAGTTGGACTGTAAACTGGGCAGTCGAGGTCAGGCTGGACCCGATTTCAGGAAATAGGAATCCCAGTTAGGCATGGCTGAGTTAACCTGTGACTTAAGCAGTGAGTGATCAACAGCTATAAGATCATTGAAGAAGAAGAATCAAGTGTCCCCACTGTTTGTAGTTAAAGAGAACTGTGGAACCAATGAGTGATCAACAGGTCACTTGGGGCTGTTGGAGAATAAGCTGTTTTGGGGGAAACGGCGTCCTGAGGGGCGCTGGCTGGGTTGGGCTGTAACCTGGGCTGATGTGTGGGTTGTGAGTTATGACCTGGGCAGCTGCACGCCTCCATCAGGCGAGTAACTAGTCCAGGGCAGCCCGCCCGGGTTGGGGAGACCACGCCAGGGGCGGCAGGAAACACTCCTGGGGAAGTGTCACCTGGGCGAGGCTCACCTGGGCGGACCTGGACCCACGAGTCCGCGCGCTTCTGCGCCAGTGCTGGCTGGTCCCGTCCCCTGACCAATAGGAGCGCGGAGGTCTGCGGAGATGGGCGCGGATTGGGTGGGTGGGCTCGGCGACGGGCGCGGATTGGACGCGGGTGGGCGGAGGCGGGGCGAGGCGGCGGGGCGGCTGGCCGCTTAGGCGCTCCGCCGGCGGGCGGCGCTGAGCGCTCGGCTACGCGGGCGCGGTGAGAGCGGAAGTGGTGACGCTGGCGTCCCCAGAGCCTGCGGCGGGCGGCAGTGACGGCCCCAGCGCTGACGGCGGCGGCGGCCGGGGGGGCGGCGTAGATGCCCGCGGTGCCGGCTGGGGCATCACCGCGGGCCTCGACCCCGAAATGGCGCTGCTGGCGGAGCACCTGCTGAAGCCGCTCCCCGCGGACAAGCAGATCGAGACGGGGCCCTTCCTCGAGGCGGTGTCCCATCTGCCGCCCTTCTTCGGTGAGCCGGGGTGAAGGGGGGAGCCGGACCGCAGCGCTGCTCCAGAGCGCTTCCAGATGCACCCGAATCCTCCTCCTCCCGAGCATTTCCAAACCACCCCTCCCCTAGACACCCCAAATCCTATTTCCCCAGGCGCCCAAGACCCCCTTTCTCTCCAAGCACTCCAGATTCTTCCCACCCCGGACCGCTCCCAAATCCTCTCCCGCCACCCAGCAACATGTCACATCCTCCATCTCTTCCCAGACATCCCCAAATCCTTCATTTCTCCCAGACACTACAGTCTTCGTCTCCAGACACCCCAACCGTCCATCCCCTCAGAGACCTCACATTCCACCATATCTATCAGGTGCACCCGCCCGATCTTCCACTGCCTTGGGCTCTCATTCGTTTATCTTCCCCAAACGCCCCTTATTCTTCCAAACCCCCATTTCTCCAATCTTCCCAGAAAGCATCCCACCGCTTCTCCCCCAGAGTCCTTCATCCCTCACCCCATCATTCCTTTCTTCCCTTTTAGAATGGCTCTGAACTCGCTCCCCTTAAAATGACTCCTCTGCTTTCATAACCCCTGTCTTTTCCTTATATTCTCCCAGCATCACCCTCATGGGGCGGGTGAACCCTTCTTCCCTCAGAATTCTCCCAGTTCAGACCGAAGACACCCCCACCACACACACACACACACACACACACACACACACACACACACACACGCACTCACACACTCCAAAGGAAGCCTGGGGGGAACCACCTAAAGTTTTTCCTCCNGCCCAGAAGCAGAGCACCTGGTGCATCTCAGATTAGCCCATTCTTTCACATCTCTCTTTACTTGGCACATGTTTTCTCAGGGTTTGCCCTGTCCCTTGCATGAGACTCCCCATGGTTACCCTCCTAATGGTCCCTAGCCCTTTGGCTAAACTCACCTCCGCTTTTTCATATTGTGTCCCCAGTGGGCAGGGGAGGCAGCCACCCACTGTGATCAGCCCAGGCAGAGCTGCCCACCCAACAAAAGAGCCCAATACATAAATGATCCTTGGTGGGACTCCCCAAGTGTGGTAGGAACTTCAGAAACATGTGAGAGACCTGGCTTCAGGTCCTGATTTTGCAGCTCTTGTGTGAGGCCCTTCTGCTCCCTGGGTCTCAGTTTCTTGATCTGTATAATGGCCTTAAAGGACCAAACATGCTCCATTGGTGGGAGTCAAGTGCCTAGGACTTGACTGGCCTTGTCCTGGAAGCCTGAGACCGCAGGCCTCTGAGCCTCTTCTGTTGAACGGCCATCGTTAGCAGCCCCACACTAGTCAACTTCTCACCTTATGATTACACAGCTGCCTGCAGCTCATCAAGCATTTTTTTTTTTAACAGATCCTGTCTCAGGTTTATTTTACAAATAGCACAGCAGGACACCAGCCCCATGCAGACAGCAGTCCAGGGGTCACACCCGTCCTTCCATCCTCATATCGGCAGTCAGAGGCCTCTACTCTGGAGCCTTCATGGGAACCTGGGTACCTTTGGGAGCTGGAGCCTGAGCTGGAGGTGAAGCTGCAGCTGCAGCCAAGGCCGGGGTCTTGGTTTGAGCCTTGGCCTTGGATTTTGCCCGGCAAAGCCCAAGACCCTTGGCGATGCAGGCACAAGCATGTTTCGCAAGCTTGGGGTGAGCGATGTAGGCAAATCAACTGCGTTTGCGGCTGCCGCCCTTTGGGATTGGGCTTGACCCCCTTGGGCTTTATGGGGGCCTTCGTAGCCTCAGCCCGTGCACTCAGGGCCTTGGCGTTGTCGGCCTGCATCTTCTTCAGGCCCTGCTTGTTGTGCTTCTTGGCAAAGCGCATGTTCCTCATGGACTTGGGGTCCATACCTTAAGAGATTCGTATCTTTGTGATTGGGGTTTCTTAATGCCATTTCTGTGCCTTTTTTGGGACTGGTTGTGCTTGGTGTGGTTCTTGGACTTGGCCATGTCTGCACTGAAGCTTGAGGCTGGAAGAGAGTCATCAAGCATCTTTACAGGTATCTTTTCCTTTGTTCCTCTCAGGAACCCTGTGAGATATTTTATTGTCCCCATTTTGGCGTTGCCTAAACCAAGCCTCAGGTAGGTGGCATCACCTGCCCAAGGAACAATAGCTTGTAGGTGGCAGAGCCGAGATTTGAACCCAGGTCTGATTCGAGGGCCTGGGCCCTCTCAGCAGCAGGGATCATCACCTTCCCTGCTGTCATCCCAGTGCCTGGCACAGAGTAGGCACTCAATAAATATTTGTTGAGAATGAATGAGCGGATTCCTCACTTTTGAGTCCCTCTCTTCCTTCTCCAAAAGAAAAAAAGGGAGAGATGGTATTGAAAGAAAGCAAAAAGAAAGACAAAAAGGAACTAACATTGTTTGAATACCTACCATGTGCCAACCCTCCCTCCAGCCTGTGGAGATTTCTGTCTCCATTTTGAAAATGAGGAAACTGAGACCCTGAGAGGTCAAGCAACTCTCTTGGGGTCACACAGCAAGGACCAGGAGAGTAGGATAGACACCCATCCTCCAGAGCTTGTGAATCTCTGTCTGCTTTTCCAGGAGTGGTTGGCTTGCAGGTGTGGCTCTTCAAAAAGGCCACTAGATGTGGACCAGCTGGGCCATATAAAGTGTTCAGCAAAATTAAATATTTAGTGACTATGGCACACAGGGGGCTGAGAGGGGAAGCCCTGGCAGGAAACTATCCAGGTGGACGCTGCGCACCCTGGGCCCTGGGCCAGCGCCCAGTTATGAGAGGCTGTTCTTGGACTTGTGTCTTTGGGTGTCCTAGCATGGGAGGAGAAAACAGGAATGGGGAAATGGCGTGATAACGCGGAGCAGCTCCCCATTAGCTGAAATGTGACAGCGCTGGAGGCTGTGCAATGCTCTGCCTTAATTAACAGGTGGCATTGCCAAGGTGCATTTATCTATGCTAGGTTTTCACAGCGTTTCAACATCAGCTACTCAGGCTTCTCCCCTGGGTGGGGCTCCCACCTTCCCGGTAGACAAAGGATGCAGAAGTAGACAGGCAAGTTCAAAGGCCCTGGGGCTGCCTCTCAGAGCCCCAGTTTTGTGTTTTAATAGTCAGAACACCAGTAATTATAATAAATGTAGGTGTTCCATGAGAAACAAGTAGGAAAGGGCATTCACCAAAACACAGTGGATATCGCTAGGGGGCAGGATTAGGGGAGATTTTCATTTTTATTTCTCTCTCAGTTTTTGATTTCACGATGGTCACTGTTACTTGTGTCATTAAAAAGAAATGCCTTGTTGACCAATCATCACAACCTGCATTTCCATCAGGTGTTATACTTTATGAGGTACTTTGAATGCATGCATGGGCTCTCAACCCTGGCTGCAGGTCTGAATCCCCTAGAGAGCGTCTAAAAAAATCCTGATGCTGGATTCCCAAGATAGAGGTTCTGATTTAATTGGTCAGGGATGGGGTCTGGGCATCTGTATTTTTAAAATTAATGTTTTATTTTAGACAAGCTTTAAATTCACAGAAAAACTGCAAAAGTAGTACAGCGAGTTCCCATATGTTTTGTATCCAGTTTCCCGCCATGAACATTCTGTGTACTTCTGTAGGACAGAAGCCTGATGGGCCTCAAGGGGTTAAGTTCAAGGTGTCAGCAGGACTGCATTCCTTTCTGGAGACTCTCAAGGAGAATAGGTTTCTTTGCCTTTGGGGCTTTTTGGAGGCTGACACATTTCCTTGGCTGCTGGCCTCTTTCTCTGTCTTCAAAGTCAGCAGAACAGTGTTTCCCTCACCCCCCATTCCCCAGTCACATCTCCTTGGACCACAGCCAGGAAAGCTTCTCCACTTTTAAGGTTTCATGTGCCCAACTGGATAATTCAGGATAACCTTCCCATCTCCAGGTTTTTAACCTTAAACACATCTGCAAAACCCCTTTTGCCATGTCAGGTAATATAGTCCCAGGTTCTGGGGTTAGGAGGCGACTTTGAAGGTCACTGTTTCATCTGCCACTGGAAGAAAGACGGACGTGCCATTCATCGCGATTAACTTTTAGTTACTGTCATTCAGTTTTATTTGTTTTTGTTTTATTTTCCGCCTGGACGCTGTGGCATCACTCCGAGCACTCCTGGCCTATGGCGCTCGCCTCGTCTCTCCCAATGTGGAGGTCATCACCTAGAAAGAAACCTGTACAGGTAAGCCTGCCCTCTTCAGGTGTGTGTCTGCACCTTCATTGGAGCCTCTTCTGTAAATCAGGGGAGCTCATCAGACCTTATTCTAACTCCTATATGCAGAGGAAGTTGGAAAATGGAATTCTGTTCTAGAACCTTCCATCCAGCCTGCTTTCATCTGCTGGAATACATTTATCTGATGGAATGGCACTAACTCTTTTTGGTATTTGTATTATCTCTCAAGGCCAGCCTGATATGAAGAAAGGAACCTCCGTTTAGCTCCAAATGATTTCATATCTCTAAGCTTCAGTTTTCTCATCTGTACAATGGGGATAATAGTACCAGCTTGTTATTAACAGCCTTAACCAGTGCTGGGCACAGTAACAGGACTTAGTAAATGATAACTGCTAGTGTTATAACTGCCCTGATACTGACAATTTTTGGCCTAGTACCAGCCTCAATAAGTGCTGGCTTTAGCTCCCTCTCTTCTAAAGGGAGGAGCTGAGAAATTGTCATTTATTTGCTCACCACCTGTTGATAAACTCCTAGCCATTCCCCCAGCTTCTCTGCTCAAGCCTCACCCTGACTGCAGTGGGGCATTGACTCTCCTCCATGAGGTTCAGGCATAAATCCGGATTTGTGCAAGCCAGCCGTGGTGGGCCCACACCACAGTGACTGGGCTGAGAGTGAGCCTGGGGCCCAGTTCTGCCAATGACACTTGAGGGGACGTTTGCGGGAGGCGGGGTAATGTTTGCTGGGAGTTGTCATATCTGCGGTGGACCCATGGTTCTGCTGCAGCTGTCATCTCACCAGGAGGAAGCCACCTGACANGCTGCAAATCATCGGTTTTAAATAAGCCTGGACTGCACCT